CGCCATGTGTGTGTGTGGGTGTGTGCACACCCCACTCCCAGTACTGATCTTACTCTTTGAAAGCATATGGGCTCTTTGGAAGAATCCTAAAATTTTACTTTTTCATATGTGTAAAATTGTTCCCAAATGTTTTGAATTTTGAAATGCAAATCAAGTGTTATCTTCCTTCATGTTTTGAAATCTAATGAGCTTTCAGTGCTCACTAGTGCTACAGGCTGAGTCATGTTAACTTTACCCTGATGCACAATTTGTTATTAATAACAAAACAATTGATTATCTTACCAAGGGTGACTCTTAATCACTCAAATGTTTTTGAACATGCCTAACATTGTTCCAGACGCTGTGAGTTTATAAAAGGAGTATGCGGGTTGGTCCGTACCTTTATGAAATGTATTCTCTCTTTAAATAAATTAGATGACAACAAACATCACATTATTGATTGGGCTGACAGTCTAAAGCAGTGGTTCTCAACCTTCCTAATGCCGCGACCCTTTAATACAGTTCCTCATGTTGTGGTGACCTCCAACCATAAAATTATTTTCATTGCGACTTCATCACTGTAATTTTGCTACTGCTATGAGTCAGTTGATCCCTGTGAAAGGGTCATTCCACCCCCAAAGGGGTTGTGACCCATAGGTTGAGAACCTCTGGTCTAAAGTCTCTGCATCCATGTCATTCTATCCTTGCATTTCAGTTCACTTAGGAAAGCCCAGATTTATATGATGTCTGCAGCATCTCGGGATTTGTAGAATAGCCCCATTTCAAATACTCAAAGCCACTGTCGCAGTACTCCCAGGTATTCACCTGCAGCTATACATCAGAGAAGAACATCTTAAATCATACATCCCTAGATCCCACTCGAGGCCTAAGTCCAGTAGTTTATAAGCAGGCTGCAAGGCTAGAATCCCCAGGTAAGGCGTTTGAGACAGTCAGTAGGAGTCGCCACAGGGTTTCGAGAGGAAGTAAGAGCTGTTCCTCTGTGGCTGGGGTGGGGAACCTTTTTTCTGCCAGGGACCATTTGGGTGTTTATAGCATCATTCACAGGCCACACTGGTCAAACATTTAATTAACTCACCTTTAATGTGATGGCTGGAACTGCCTCTCTGTAGTGAGCTGTGTGGTCTTAGCGGGTATTGGTAAGATCATGGGCCTGGCATTTCTCACCCTTGCTCTAAAGTGAAAACTCAGCGCAGTGAGACAGGAGATTATGGAGGTGTCTATTAGAAGAGTCTGGGCAAGAGGGAGGAAAGACGGGGACAGTGACCACTGTGACCATGATTGTCCTATAGGATTAGGAAAGGGTGGACTGCGGCCCAAGAAGGCAGGCATAAGCGACAGCAGCTCTGCTGAGACTTTGGATTGTAAATTTGTTTTATATTACGTTGTAGCTCAGGATTGCTGTGACAGAACTAGCAACCCCTACTTAAATTTTTTTTTTCCAACCAAATGAGAGTTAATTAAGCAACCTGGAATCCTTAGTTTTGTAAAAGCAAACCAAAGATTTGTTCTCTGTCCTCAGATGTAAGGGTTAGCCTGTGAGGAATTAATTAAGCCCTGTAGTTAAATGAGAGTGAAAAGTGAACTGGGAATGAGGACGAGAGAAGGACACGGTGCAGAAATGAGGACATGTAAGTATTAACGATGTCAAAGGCAATGGAATAGCCTAGCAGATAAAGATTACGATAGAACGACTTAATCGTGTAGGAAAATGCCATAGAGACTCCTTTACAGAGGTAAGGGGTGCGGGGGTAGCCTAAATCCCTCACCTCACATACTGAGGCGGGAAGAGGATTGCTCAAGGAAGCAGGAAAGATGAGCCTTTGCTGTAGGGTGGAGCAAACACTTGAAGGTGTGATGGAGCTGTGACCAGGCTGATAATAAAACTGTCCCAAAAAAACCAGGTAAAGTATCTTAGCTACAATGTTTTTAACAAGAATTTAACATTTTTTTCTTTCTGTTCCCACTGCTGTCAAGTTGATCCCAACTCATAGGAGCCTTGTAGAACGGAGTAGAATTGTCCCATGGTTTCCAAGGTGACAGTGGGAGCTGACAGCCTCCTTCTCCCATGGACCGCCTGCTGCTTTCAGACTGTGGTCTTTCGATTGACCCTCCAGGGTTTAACCTGTGGTGCCACCCAACGCCAATAACTATAATTACTGAGCGAGACACTATGCTTTTGTTTTTAGCTCTGACCTGAAAATAGTTCTGTTCCCTTAAAAGGGGGCGTGGGGTGGGGCCAGGGTATTACACTAGTCAACTTTATTTAAAAATGCCATTGGATAATTTAAATTGTAGTTGATTTGATAATATCCAGATATGTAAATGAAAGGAAATGAGTTTGTTGTTGCAATCAGAAGTTTAAAAAACATCTAAAACATTTAACTCAATAGTAATTTTAACCTTTCTTAGAAGTCATGCGATTTTTTAAAATTTGATGTTCTTTAATAAGGGCTCAAACTATTATCTTTTAGAAGATGAGTAATGAGGGCACATGGGAAGTGTATGACAGATTTTAACCAGCTAATCATCTTTATACTATGCAGTTGGCTGGGGAACAGACCAGGGAATTGGCGGATTCGGAGAGGAGCCAGGAATTAAATCTCAGCTAATGAACCTTATTCGATCTGTAAGAACCGTGATGAGAGGTAAGAAGGAACACTGGTGGAGCAGTTGTAAGTTTTCGTTTTGTCCTTTGGGCAAGCAAGGGTTCAGAATCTGGATATAACATTTGCCCTTTTCATAGTGGGGATTTTTTTTAAAAACAAAATTTATTTCATCTTTGGGTGAAAATGATGCACAATGACATCATAACTCAGCAGTTTTACATGTACGGTTCATTTGCACTGATTACTGCTCTTCAGGATGCGCAGCCATGCTGGCTCTTGCCCCTTTCCCAGTGATCCTGCCCTCAGGATACACCTCCGCCCCTGACATCCTCATTCAGTCTTCCAGGTGGCGGCTGCCCGTCTGATCGCATATCGCCATCCTCGAAAATGCTCAAGGCAGACCTTCTCCAGTTTCAGTGTTAGGTTCCACATTTAAAGATGACTCCAGAAAGTCTGGAGTCCATTGGAATTTATCATTCGATTCCACATTTCCCTCCATTTTGATCTGGAGTCTTCTATAGAGTCTTCAAGGCATTCTCGCGAAGGCGCCTAACAGTGGCAAGGGCCTCCTTGTCTCCTTTACTTCAGATGCCTGAGCTCTTTGTGTGTGGAACTGCATGATACCCAAATACCCAAATGTTAAAAATGTTAAATATGATAGTTTGTGTAGCCTAATGCGTGAATGAACGAATCTACTAATTAATGGCTAGTGAATATTTTTTTAGGGCGTAGAGTTTTTAAAAAAAAAGATGCTCTGCAATGATGGCTGGGCACCATCTACTTTTGCCCCTGGGTCTAAGGAGGCCACTGTTTATGGAGGCAGTGAGACTCGAATTCCAGTTGCTCCTGATTCCCGCCTCTTGCTCTGCTGCTCCTGACACAGAGACCAGTGGTTGTACTGCCTTTGACTGCAGCTCTCAATCTTCGAAGACCCCAGCCAAGGAGTGGTTTTTCTCCTACATTACTTTAGTGCGTAAAGCTACCGCGTCCTTCCTCAGCTCCCTCTTTTTTGTGTCCAGCTAGTGATGCCAGTGGAGTGCTCAGTGGGAAGCTGCACACACGGGACTTCACCGAGTCCATAATCCTACTTGCATTTCTCCATGAACGTCTGAAGCCCTTCCTGTTACTGCTCAGGGTTGAAAGAACAGTGTTTCTGCCTTTGAGAACCCAGCTGGTTGTAAAATCATAGCGAGCCATGGAAGGCATTCAAAGAACAATTAAAATTCCAAATCTGCCATTCTATTAGAAAATATCTTAGAGCAGTGGTTCTCAACCTGTGGGTCGTGACCCCTTCAGGGGTCAAATGACCCTTCCACAGGGGTCGCCCAATTCGTAACAGTAGCAAAATGACAGTGATGAAGTAACAGCGAAAATAATTTGATGGTGGGGGGTCACCACCACATGGGGACCTGTATGAAAGGGTCGCGGCATGAGGAAGGCTGAGAACCGCTGCCCTCGAGCACCTCCAGCAAAAGAGCTCAGAAGTCTTTTATTTAAGACTATAAAAGTTGCTATTCTATTCATTATTTTTGATAGAGTGGTAAGTACCTTAACCTTTAATTTAGCCAGGAAACCACCCAGTCTTCTTGGTGTCTCATTTCCACCTTGGTGTCTCTGGCTGCTGCAAGCCACCTCTGCCTGTGCCTGTGCTTCCCGTTCCGGAGCCACACCCGCCCATCCACAGGTGTTCCCAGTGCGCTCCTCGGCCGGGCCTGACCCTGACTCCCAGCCACGGGTGCCTCTATGAAAATAAATCTTGGTTGCTGTGACCAGACATGTCTGAATATCCACCCACTGCAACATGATTATGATGATATATGGTTAGATCTATCCATCTCTCCTAGATGCTAATAACTGTAACCTCGTCTTTTCCTGATAGTAACAAACTTTTTCTCTCCCCTTTGCAGTGCCATTGATAATCGTGAACTCCATTGTGATAGTATTACTGTTACTGTTCGGGTGAAGTCCAGCGAGGGAGATGGAGACAGGAAGAGATGCCATGTCAGCAGGAGCTACTGCTTCGGTCCTTATTGGAATACAGATTCTCTTAGCTGGCCAACCTTGCACTTGACAAAAATGTAAAGCTGACAATAAAGAAGAGTCCTTATTCATCTGATTTTTTAATGTTGCACTTGTAGTGTCATTACAGAAAGATCAGATCAATATAACAAAGACAGTACTGTCCAGGATTGAAGTACGTTTGATTGCTGATTGTTCACAAGAGGACCGTGCTGTGGTAAAGATTGTCAAAGGGTACAGCACTGTCACATCTGTTTGTAGAGGTTTTTCTCTTCCTCACTACTCAGGGATGACCTTTTTTCCCCCCCAAATTTTAAAGTTTCTTCTAACTTAGCTCTGATGTGAGAGTGATTATCTCCTGAGATAAAATTTAAAGGTGTTTTTGTAAGGCTTGTACTACACATAAAATGATGGGCAGTTAGTTCATTTTATTTTGAATTTTTTTGTTAAGTATTTTTTACTGTTGCCTCAGCTACAAGAAATTAACATTTACAGTACCTGTTGAGGAGGAAAAACTTCTGTATTTCAGGGAATGCTAATTTTGTAAGTCAGTGGATCACATGATGGTTTGATAGTTTTTAAGTTCTTATTTTGAATTTCATTAATTTGCCTGAACGATGAGATTAAGCCAACATCTGCATCCTTTTGCGGGTAGAAAGACCCACGGTGAGAAGTCTGTGCCCTTTGACAGTGAAGACTTGTGTTTAGAAGTCAGTGTTAGTGTTTCCCTGCGAGAGCAGCTCTAAGCCACCACAAGTAAAATCTATGTACGCAGATCATCATTGTGAAGCATTTACTTAAAAAAAAATCCCACGTTCTCATATGAAGGTGTATGATTCTTCATTCTGTAGAGCGTTTCCACTGGACAAATT